TTTTTTATCAAAAAAAAGCCAGATCAGACGTTTGATCAGAGTTGAGTATGTATTCAATTCCCTAGCACTTCAGATGTGCACAACATTACAATGGTTGTACAATATGACATATGACTAAACTCATGTGTGATGATTCATCTTCCTCTAATGATTATACTCAGTCTTAGAGTTTTACATTTATACATACACTGACCTGCATTCACTGACATATGTTCTCTTAGGAGTCCAACTTGCAGGGTACAGAACCTTCCTGATAACCCCAGAAAGGATTTAGAAATCTGGTATGTGGCTGATTGACGTTGATTCCTGCCTAGTACCACTGACCCCTGTGACCATTTTGTTGGCTTGCAGGACTTCCAGTAAAATGGTCAGACTGATCAGCTTTACAAACTGGGCACTTGGTATTAACATGTTATATGTTTAATCAATTATTTATAAATAAAATCTACTATTAATTATGTATGATTGTAGAGAAGGTAAACTTAGAACACTTAATAAAAAGGCATGTTAGTCATGCAGGCTTCAATGAAGTTATTTCTCCTTGTGAAAAACATTCACAATTTTTCAGAGTGTTTTTATTATCTCTATTTTTTATTGATTGATTCTTTTGCCCTTTTCAAATGTTGTCATAGAGGAAAAGTTAATTTCATGCTAGTACCTTACAAGATTCAGTTTTGGGGTTTCCTATATATCTTTCTTTTATGTTTACACTTATTTCTAAAAGTTCTGAATTTCTAATAACTGATTTAGAAAATTATGTCACTCTGCAATGCTACCCTTAACTTAATTACACATTGAACAAAATTTAATTTTATATTCATGTTCTCAGGTAGGGATTTCATATGAAAAGTTGATCATATATCTTTTTTTTTTTTCCTAATGTAAATTTATCCTCCATTTTATTTCCATTGATTTCTGTCTTTTTGCCTCTCTGTTATCTAGCCCTGTTCCATCACATACCTGCACAGTACATTTTATAGCTATGTGAATGTAATTTTACATTAAGTTTTGAATCAGATTTAAAGAACAAATAATAAAGGAAGAAGAAAAATGAAAGAGAATAATATTATTAATCTTTGTCAGAGTAAATAAAAACATCAGGTCAAATTATACTTTTTGCTATTATGGACAATTATCAACCTATTTATGTCACACTAAAACATCACTTTCCTTCAAAAACAATAATTCTCAGAGAAAGATGTGTAAATAATTCTTTTGCCAGTGTGACATTTCAATAACTATTTCTTTTTCCCTGAAAAATCCCAATAAACAAAATAGACAGCTAGTACTGATTACGGATGAGATATATAACAGAAAGAAGTATAAATTCACATCTTTTTCTGGTCAAAAGTGATGATGTATCAGTAAAATTACAGTGTTATTAGTTCAAAGTCTGATTAAATTTATAAATTTATAAATTTATAAATTTATAAATGTTCAATTAAATTTACAAATGTTATACCATAATTATTGAGTAATGTATTAAAAAGTACACTTGAAGTTTCTTTAATACTCTAGTTGCCAACAATTCTTATTCTATCTGGCAGCTGGGAATGGCTGTGTATGTCATATTACGAGGGAAGAAATATCAGGACAAGGTGCTGTGATAGAAGTACTGAGAGGATGGCACAGACACTAGCAAAAAAACCTAGTCTACATTATTTGAATTTAAAGCTTGGAAAGTGTACTTACATCTCAGCAGCTTAAAAATAACAAATCAGAGCATGATTCTCAGAACTAAACTGAGAATATGTTGCAGTACAAAAAACCCTGTTATAGTCACTGGAATTCTTTGAGGTGTGTTGTCCAAACATATCTTTCAGTTTCATTACTTTTCAAGTTTAAAGTACTTTTCTAGCAACGTGTGCCTAAGTAGCATATGCCCTGAAAGTGTTTAATTCATAAGAAGAGTTGAAACATCATTATGGTCCAGGCCAATGCTGAATTCTGCTTTTTACAGGATTTATAGTAGCTGGAAGTATGCTTGTTACAACACATTTCAAAGGAATTGAGTCATTTTACAGAAGAACAATTTTTTCTTTATTACCTTGTCTCTTCTCCATTACTCTTTGAGACTAGTTAGAGAGAGATTGAAATCCAGCTAGGTCAAAAAAAAAAAAATCCAGCTTGGGTCAAAGAAAAAACATCTAGCCATCTCTCCACTTGTTTTCAAATGTTCTTACAGCAGAAAAATGTGCAGACTACTAGATGATCGCCCTGCATATGTCCAAACGGGAAACAATTTGCGAAACACTCCAGAAGCTGAAAGGCTTTTATAAAACATATTTAGTAGCTGCATCAGAATAAGTTTTGGTAAGCTTTATGATTAGACAATATCACGGGCAGTGCCTGGGTTAGAATTCATTGACTCCTGTATATAAATGACACAAATAAAGCTGAGAATGCCTTTTCAAAAGTATGTATGGCACTCTCGCTCCCAAAGATCAGTATAAAAGAAAAGTAAAATCTGTGATTTCAAATCACTCACGAAGATTCTGAAAGAAGATTAAGAAATAAAAATAAAAAAATCGAAACCTTTGCACCTTTATCTTTAGAATTTCTTTCTCTTTGAAGACATGTTACTATTAAGTAACATTTATCTTTCTGAAATGGTAATGTTACCTTAACATTTAATGTGGAACCATTAGACTCTCTGTTATAAATTTAACTGTGGCTTGCAATCAAGCTATTTATCCCATCAAAGTGTCCTGGTTTCAACTGGCACAGTTCTTCTTTTTAGCAGCCAGAAGAGCTCTGTGTTTTGGTTTCAGTCTGACACTTGTTCAGAGAAGAACGTTGACAGCGCACTGATGTTTATAGTTGGAACTGAGACCTCAAGGACTTTTCAGCTGCCGTGTTCTCGCCAGTGTGCAGGAGCACAACAGGCCGGGGGGGAAGCGTAGCTGGGACAAAGCGTCCACAACTCCTCTTATGATTTGAACTTAGATTTAGGATTGAGGGCTAAATTGGCCAATGAAGTATTCCATATCATGTAATGTCATGCCCAGTGCATAGGTGAGAGTTGACACGAAAGAAGGACTTTTGCTTTTCCGTCAGCTCTCACTCTCAGACTCTCAGAGTGCTATCTCTCTCTCTCTTGCTCTCTTTTCCTGCCTCTAGCTCGTCTGGGATTGCACTGTCAGGACTTATCTGTTTTGGGATTGTTAACTGGCATAGGACAGGCACTGGTCACCGGGTGGTGAGCAATTACCCTGTGTATCATTTGTTTGTATAAATTATCATTATACACATATATATTCATATATTGTTATTATTAGATTGTTCTTATCCCAACCCACTTGTCTCCTTCCCTTTTCTCCTTTAATTGTCTTCCCCATCCCCTGGGAGTGGGGGAGGGTGAGCGAGAGGCTGTGTGATATTTAGTTGCTGGCCAGGCTAACCATAACACAAAGAAAGAGACAACTTCCAGAACTAAAGGTTTTAACAGAAAAGAGAAATAAAATTTCAGATTTTTTTTTTTAAAGGGAGAATAGCAGAACGGGAGAAACCTCAATTAAGGAAGACTAATAAAGGTAGAACTGAGAACTAATATCTGCAATTTTGCAAACGTCAATTCATGATTCCTAAATAAGAAACCTTTAGCCTATTTTCCCTTTAATCTCTAGAAAATAAAACCTTCAGCCTTTCTTAGTGAGAAATTTTGATCTTAAACCAAAATCTTTTCCATAGACTTATAGGGAACTGGGTAAATCAGCTGTCCCAGCCAATTAAAAACCTATGAAACATCTGTGGTTCTATCTACATCACAATTAGAAAGTCAGAACAAAACCAACCTCCTTGTGTTGATTGACTTGCCTTAGTGGACAAGTTGCATATGACTATAATGTTCAGGTAGTGTGGTAAACTGAGGACATGATCCAGAGGACAATTTTGGTGCTTTACAGTGCCATTACTATTTGCTTGCTGTCTTCATAGGTAGTCTTATCTTGCTGTTTTCCCAAGAGAAGTCCAAAAAATACTATAGTGACATAAGTCAATAATTGGGTACTACAGTTTTCAAGTTTCAGTGTGATTATAGCTCTGTGGCCAATGGAGGCCACGTATTGGCAAATTCAATGGATATGATTTTACTTTCTATCCTTGCTATAAGGGATTACTGTGCTGAAGCACTCGGGGATGTTGGTTTCAGTTATTGCATTTCCTAAGGTTTCTGTTATTTGCTACACACAATAACAACATAACAGTGGTACTTCAGCTGCTGCTGAGACCTTCCATCATTACTGCACACACACAAATGTAGATAAATATGAGTATTCTTATCACTATCATGAGACTGATATAAATGTTGTGTAAAATAATACCTAGTCTAGTTCACATTCTTTACAGAAGCATACACATTATCTACTTACTAATGCATTCAGGTAGAGGTTTGTCCCAGTGGCCATTTGGTTGACAGATTAAAACTGAAGAGCCAAATAAAAAATATCCAGGATTACAGTCATAAAATACCACTGTACCATATGTGAAATTTCCATGTTCGATTTTACTTTCTCTTATGGAATTTGCAGGAATTCCAGGATCAGAACAATTGACCACTAAAAAGAAAAAGAGCATAGACTTGAGAGTTGTACAAATAGAGCCTACTAAAATGGTCTTTAAATGGTCTCCTATCCCTTGTATGAGAAACTTCCAATGTGTTGCTACCCTGATTTTATATATACTGATTTTATATATAATGATACTGAATTAGGAAGATGATATAAAACAAGGAGATGCTAAACTCAGAGCAGATAAAAGGAAATGTTTCTTCACAAAGTGTGATCACGCTGTAAAAGCATATGCCACTGAAAGTGATGTGACACATCAATATATACAATTTATTCTCGTGCCTTGACATAAACTATTGCTTACAGCTGGAAATAGGTTTAGGAGTTAGATGTGCCTTTTGTCTAACCCACACAGCTATGTAAATATACTTATGTTTCTATACTAACATTTTGATAACCTTTGAGGCAGATATTTTGAGCTAAAGGGCACATGATCACTTGGGTAAGAATGTGGTAATTTTGCTAGAAGAGGGAAATAACCCAACATATGGGTATGTGCTTTTACAAATATGGATACACTTAGTTGGTTAAGAATCCTGATGGATTATTTGAGTCCTCAACTGCTTTAGGATTCATATGTTTGAAATCACTGAAGAGAATCACTGAAGATCGATTTTTTTTTTTTCCTTCTATTTTGCGACTTACAGCTATCTAGTGATGGGAGTATAACACTTATTTTGGGGGTCATGGAGATTTTTTTAACAGTTTCCATGTAGTAGAATCCTCTTGTCAAGTAAACACATGATCACCTACTTAAAAAATAATGACTTCTCATTAGCAGAAAGGTCCTTGGAAATTTGAGTTCTGTAAACTATTTGTCAGTATCGCTTAAAGAAAAATTATCAAAGAAAAGTAGAGGACATCTATTGGAAGGAAAATATAGTAAATAAAATTGCTATAAATACATAATATGACTTAGGCTGTGCACAGATAAATATCCACAGAAGCTGCTGGGAAGATGCTGAAAAACGATCAATATAATTTCTGTATATGTGCCAGCAGGTTACAGAAAAACACATTTTTCTAAAGGAGGACACTTAAAAAGTACGTAACAACAGACTTAAAAAGGACAATGGTGAGAAAATCTTTCTAAAAGTGCTTATGAAAACTCAAATAGAACTAATTGCATAATATTCTTTTATTTACAGTGAATTTTAAAAATAATATCCAGAAATGTTGATAATCAACCCAAATGGATTATGCGAACAAAGAATAAAAAATAAAAAGGTCAAGATGAGTATTCAGCTAAATGGAATTGTAAAAGGAAAAAAAAGTATGTTTTCTCATGCACTCATTAGAACTATATTGGCAAAAAATGCAGAGAACACTATTTCAGGATTAAAGCTCTCCATTATCTCTGCATAATTTTGCTTAAGGAACTTGTAGAAACTACTTTAAAAAATCAGTACAAACTACAGACATCTAAGAAAGTTTCTCTGCAACAGTTATCCTGGCAACCTTCTGAACGTAAAACAGATCTAACTGAAAAATGAAACATCATCTTTGACAATTTGATGTCTGTTAGCAAGAGAGGCTTCATTTTGCCTTGACAGTTTATCTTCCACTTATTTTTCAACCTTAATTTTCCAACTAAGTTTGAAATCTGTAAATGCTTGCATTCTTACCTTTGCATATTGGAGGTGGGTGGCTCCACTGCCTATTAGCCTGACACTGTGCTTTGGTTGGTCCTTGCATAACATACCCAGTATTACATGAGAATGTCACGACATCATTGAAGTTGAAACCATTTCCACTTGTTCTTCCATAAATAGGACTTCCAGGGTGACCACAGCTAATGGCTAGCATAGCACAAAATAAAGAAACAGAAAGAAATAGAACATGCCGTTATCACTTTTCATGATTTATGAAATAATAGATAAGCATTATAATAATTATATAATAGTATTTAAAGTTTTGATATTATAAAATACTGACTACTTTCCATGAAAAATTTACATTTCTCTGAACTGAATAAAAACAAAGACATATTTTAGTAAATGTTCAAGCACTTATTTAAATTTTAAATAAACTGAATTTAAGGAGAAAAGTAAGAACTTGAAAGGAAATTCTTCATCAGTGTGTTAGTCTCTCAGGAATTATTCCTTACGAATATGTATCTATGTTGTTGTTGGTTTTGTTATTATTGTTGTTATTGTTATTATTATGATTGTTGTTGTTGTTGTTGTTGTTATTATTATTATTATTATTATTATTAAATTGTTTTTATCTCAATTCACAAGTCCCCTTTCCTTTTTCCCTTTAAATCTCTTCCCCAACCTTTGTGGGTGGGGGAGGGTGAGAGAGTGGCTGTGTGGCGTTTAGTAGCTGTCCTGGACAAACCATGAAACTGCTACAAAAATGTAGTTATAAAACTAGAAAATTTGGAGGCAGACTAACACATTTCTAATATACTGATATTATTGCACTTGAATTATTGAAACATAGTTGTAATTTGCTCGAGAATCCTTAGAGAACTCAAATTTTCTTAAATGGAATATAGTATTTTCTGTCACTACATAATGGTATTTCATGGGATATGTTGACATACTTATCACACACAAGGAGTCTCATTAACAAAATACAAAATTCATGCCAAAAAAGCCAAAACTCAAAACAGGAAACGAATTGAGTATCTCTGTGAGAAGTAAAAAAGAAATTTAAGTTTATTGAAGCAAACATTTCAATCGTCAGTGCTGACAGTGTAACTCAAGAGTACCTACTTATATAACTACTGCAGTCACAGTAAATGCACATTAACTATTTCCAAAAGTCACTAAGGAACATAAAGCCATTTTCAATTTGAGTACCTGGGTGCCTAAGTCCCATCACTTTTGGAAGAAGTTTTATATTCACATATAAATGATGGGTATTTAGTAGCCAAAAGATGTAATAATTCAGTGGAAATTTTAAGTGACGACATTAAACTTCACCTGATAGATGAATCATAGATTTTAAGTGGCCATGTACTTTTGTTGATCTGATTTAACTCTTTTTTTAAAAAATGAATAATAAATTGCAAAGTCACTTCTCATCTTGTCTGACACAGACATTCCTCTAACTTAAATCAGTATGTGTTATCATGCTTACTTACGCACACAGGATGGAAGCTGACCAGACCAGTTGTGATCCTGCTGACATATTCGTACAGAAGAACCAATCAACCGAAAACCAGGACTGCACTGGTATACAACTGTGTCTCTATATCCAAAATTTTCTCCAATTACTTGACCATTGACTATAAGATCTGGAATACCACAGTGACCAGCTAAATTTTGAAAAATTAAAAATAAATGAAAAAATTAAAAAAGATAAATATATCAGAAAATCTATTTCCTTAATTGAAACAAAGAAATGCTGAACATCTTTCGTTATTTTTTATTGACTTAATTCAAAGTTTTTCTTCTATTAATTTGGGGAAAATTGTAGGTAGGATTGTACACACATAAAAAATTACAATAAGACAGTGTGGCAAAGAGATTAAATGTCATATATATTATCAAATTTCTTTTTAAAAATGTAAGTAACTCCTTTTTATTAAAACCTGTAAAATTCTATATTAGAATAAATAAATACAATATGAATATTATAAACATCAATACGTTATAAATATCAATCCATGTGCATGTTATAAATATAACCTTCTTACAATGGGCAAAAAATAAACTTGGACAAACTATTGCTAGAATCTGACTTTCCGGATTGTCTTCCATTCTTTTTCTCCTGTTGATTCCAGAGGGAACGCAAAGAGATTAATGTGTTTGAACTAAATGTAGTCAATGTAACTACATTCCAAAGTCCTGCAACCAAAAATCTTTCTATGTCTTGGCCTAATCTATATTCTCAAAATATGAGAAATATTTTTATGAAAGTCACAAACAGACATTTAATCTAGAGAGAGGCAAAGAAAAAGAACAAACTGTGTCATTTGTTACTGTTTTACTTAGTGAACTCTGAAAAATGGTCACTGTGATTCAGCAAATAATACAGTAACGAAAAATCCTCTGAAAATGGTTGACCTCATGTAGATTATGACACATGGCAGAGAACTCACAGCAAAAAAAAAAAAGTAAGGCAAGCAAGAAAACCAAGCAGTGCTTCAGCTAGTACTTTAATGAAAAAAAATATTGCCAGCCAACCAAACTCCTCTGCTCTCCTTTTCTCATCTACTTCTCCTCAAAAAACAACTACAAACAAACATTCAAAACATGAGGTTGCTAATAAGAAAGGATACTTAGAAACAATATAGTTAAAAATATAGTTTGAATTATTTTTTCTTTTGAACTTTTAAGTGTTGATAATACTTTGCTGTAATTTTCATCATTTTGCCTCATTCTTTCAGAGCAAGAAACTTCATATTATATGACGAAAAGACCCTGCAAATTTGAGATTTTCTTATAACTTGCATCTGGCAACTCAAGCCTTGTATAGCATTTCATTGTAAGAATCATGATAAAACCATCAGAATTTACAATATAGGTAGTACGTGACCCCTCACACAGTTTAAAGTGATGAGTGCAATCTGAATTCTGTATAAGGAACAGGAGTCCAAATCTCATGTTGTTCAAGGGTATATTCCCCTCTGTCTGTCCCCTCCCCATGTCCCTCAGTGTTACATAAGGACCAGGCATACTTGAAATTTGGTTTATGTTTTCTGGTGTAAGGTAGCATAATACATGTCTATAAACTTTGTGTCAGCATACTTCTTTTCTCCAGAAAAGTCATGACCTGTTAAGTAAGTAGTAGACTTCTTGAAGGTGCCACAAAGGGCCCAAGTTCCCTATCTTATCACATTTGTGATGATAAACAAGAACAAATGGATGAGGAGCAAAAAGTGAGCTGGAAAAGATCAGTTTCTATCAGAAGTGCAATGAGACAGTTTGCAGTTATTCAGACCACGTTCAAAGAAATAATTTCCTAATTACATTTATATTACAATATTTGGCCTGGCTCTTAATAAAGATTTTAGTGTTGCTTTACAGCAGCACAGTGGAAGCAGCATATGTCACCAGAACGGTCAAGCTCTGTTTCCTGTGCATGGAGAATAAAACTGAAGTAATTCAACACATCAGGTGACTAAGATCATACTGAAGTTCTTGAAACTGTGTGTGGACATTACAAAAAACTGCAACAGGCGAAAAAGACCTGTGAGTCTTGCATTAATGTCTCTGTCTAGCTTGAGAAATTTTAAAACCACTTAAAATTCTCATCCTCTCAGCCTACTTCCTCTCATTGTCCTAAACCTCCTAGACCCTTGCTTTGACTTCTTTGAACTTTTGAGTTTCTTTTTTTCTTTCTTCTTTTCTTTTGACTTTCTTTGATATCTTCTGTTGACAAGGGGAGAGCAGTGGATGTTGTTTACCTAGACTTCAGTAAAGCATTTGACACTGCTTTCCACAGCCGCCTTCTGGACAAACTGGCAAGGTACAGACTGAGAGGGTGTTCTGCAAGATTGGTAGGGAATTGGCTAACAGGCCACACTCAGAGGATGGTGATCAATGTTTTTTACTCAGACCGGCAGCCTGTCAAGTGGGATCCCCCAGGGATTGATATGGGGTCTCAAGCTCTTCAACATCATCATAAATGACCCGGATGATGAGACAGAAAGAGAAAGTACCCTCACAAGTTTTCTGATGGCACCAGACTGGGTGATGGGGTGATCATGTCAGAAGGGAGAGCCATCTTACAGAGAGACCTGGACCGGCTGGAAGAGCAGGCTAGAAAGAAGTGTACGAAGTTTAACAAAGATAAGTATAAGGTCCTGCACCTGGGAAGGAATAACCAAAGAGTCCAGTACAGACAAGGATCTGTGTGGCTGGGTAGCAACTTTGCTGAAAGCGACCTGAGGGTCATAGAATCATAGAATCATTTAGGTTGGAAAAGACCTTGAAGATCAAGTCCAACTGTTAACCTAACACTGCCAAGTCCACCACCAAACTGCATCTCTAAGCACCAAGTATACACATCTTTTAAATACCTCCCAGCATGGTGACTCAACCACTTCCCTGGGCAGCCTGTTGTAATGCTTGACAAGTCTTTCAATGAAGAAATTTTTCCTAATATCCAATCTAAACCTCCCCCAGCAAAACCTGAGGCTATTTCCTCTTGTCCTACCACTTGTTACCGGGAGAAGATACCCTCACTACAATCTCCTTTCAGGCAGTTTTAGAGAGTGATAAGGTCTCCCCTGAGCCTTGTTTTCTCCAGGCTAAACAACCCTTGTTCCCTCAGCGGCTCCTCATAAGACTTGTGCTCTAGACCCTTGACCAGATTAATTGCTCTTCGCTGGACACGCTCCAGCCCTTGACCAGATTAATTGCTCTTCGCTGGACATGCTCCAGCACCTCCATGTCTTTCTTGTAGTGAGGGGACCAAAACTGAACACAGTATTTGAGGTGGAGCCTCGTCAGTACCAAGTATAGAATGATTATCACTTCCCTAGTCCTGCTGACCGCACAATTTCTGGTCCTGGTGGACAAAAAACTGAACATGAGTCAGCAGTGTGCCACAACAGCAACAAAGGCAAATTGGATCCTGGGCTGCATGTGCAGGGGCTGAGACAGATGTGTGATCATCCCACTCTGCTCAGCATTTGTCAGGCTGCACATGGGGTACTGTGTCCATTCTTGTCACCACCACTGAAAAAAGATGCAGATAGACTGGAGCAGGTCCAAAGGAGGGCCACGAAGATAATCAAAGGGCTGGAGAACCTGTCTGTGAGGAAAGGATGAAAGTTCTAGTCCCTGAAGAAGAGAAGGTTCAAGGGGGACCTCATTGCAGTATTCCAGTACTTAAAGGGTGGCTACAAAGAGGATGGAGGCTCTCTTTTCACAAGGAGTCACATGGAGAGGATAAGGGGCAATGGGTACAAGTTGCACAAGAGAGAGGTTTCATCTCAACATAAGAATTTTTTTTACAGTAAGAACAAACATTCAATGGAACAACCTCTGCAGGGATGTGGTTGAGTCCCCATTACTGGAAGTTTTCAAGATGAGACTGGACAGGGTGCTAGATAATCTCATCTCAGCTCCCTTTCCCATGAAAAGTTTGACTAGATGGTCTTTCAAGGTCCCTTCTGACTTGGGCTGTTCTATGATTCTATTACTTCAAATCCCTCTGTCTTGATTACCTCCTCCCACTCAATATAACAGTTACATCTTTGGAGCTCTAACTATATTGCATGAGTAATTGCAAAATAGTCATTATTGGTATAGAAGTGTATATTTTTTAAATAGTAGAACCTAATTCTATCCCTGTGTAAGCTTTCTAAACTGAAAAATAAAGAAATCTAAATGTATGAAAGATATTATAAAACTATAGTTCTATCATTACAGAATTCTAAATCAACTTATTGTGATAGTGTTAAGGAAATAAATATAATTTTAAAAAAGGATATGCCAGACTTGTGGCATGTTTTTTATCTGAATTTTAAAAACAAATAAAAACTATTTGAGATTTGCAGGATCTATCTCAAATTTTCACTTTGCTTTCCAGGAGTAGTTCTGTTTGAGAGACATAAAAAAAATCAAACCAAATACCATTCCACCTCCTCCACTCAATGATGAGTTCAGCCCTATTTGTTTCATTTTTAAAATATCATCCGTCATTTAGGTGCATATGATAAGCAGTTCAGTACGTTTGCTATTGAAAGAGTATGTAATGGCATACATAGCTCCTATTAAGAGAACCTTTGAGAACATTACTGAAATTTCCACTAATTTATGCAGCTGAAAAAATTTCCTAATTTGCAATAAAGTCAGAAACTCATTAATATTTTCTAAAAGTTTGCTTGTTTGTTTATTTCCACTCTATTTCACACATCCACAGAGCTGATCTTCAGAAGAAACAGAAACCTTTCACTTACAGTCGTTGCTATCACTCCTTCTCTAATAACAAGAAATAAAAGAAGAGGAAGAAAAAAATCGACATCCAAACCAACAAAAAACCACAGCACCATCTACACCTATATGTGGAAGAGCAGTTATTACTTAATTCCTCTTCCATTCATTCTGGTTGTGTTGTGTTTCTTCTGAAAACAAGGTGTGGTTAAACAACGATATCCAAATACACAACTGCTCAGGAGCTAGGCTTTGCAGATGGAGTGTTTTCAGTGAGAACTGAATGCAAATATTGCAAACTGAGTATCATATTACGGAACTCTCTGTAAATACAAACAAAATCTGCCAGAAAATCAGGCAGAAAGATTGCCTTTTGTGAAAGCAATGAGTGAATTGAATGTGAAGTTTCTACTGAGTAGCAGATTTGAGGGGGGAAATCAGTTCCAAAACATTCTCAATTTTCAGTCTAGCAAAGCTTAAGAATAACTATATGAAATGTTACTAAGAAACAAAATTAGTCAAAAATTAGGAATGAAAGATACTAATAACATGTGAGCACCAAATAAATTACCTAACTCGACATAAAATCTAGCTCTAGCAACGAAAAATGAGCATAATTATTCAGTGTCAGAACCTTAGAAATCTCAGATGCAAATCAGGTTTCTTTTCTGCAGGTTACTCTCAGATGCAAGAGTAGGACTAAATGAATACAGACTCTTTACGTCAAATGGCAAAAATGTGCCTGTGCTTATTTTAGCTGTCAGTAATGTCAAACGTGAGCATAATAGTGAAAGAAATCTACATATCAATACATTATTGAAAAAGAGAGATTTAGGTTATTATTCAACAAAGTTAATTAACCTGTCAAGATGACCTCAGCTGAGAAAAATTATTTGCTGGATTTCGTTTCCTCTCTACACGGCTTGCATTTCTTATAAGGACATATTTTTTTACATCCTCCTGTTCACAAACAACATTGGCATAGCCCTGGACAAAACAGGCTTTGGGGTGTTTCTCCTGCTAGTTTTGCAAGATTCTCACCTTGCCAGCTGCTCAAGCTGTACTAAAACTGTTCAGGATGAATGGTAATGTTCTTTTAAATCTTTTTTAATCCATGTCCCAGAGAGGGAAGTTCTCTGCTGAATTCCTTGAAATGGCTGAATAATTCTTTAAAGATGAAACATCATATACCTCATTTGAAAGTCTAGTTGTTATTATTGTGCAGTAGCAGTAAAGAGCAAAGAGAAGCATATGGCTAACCCTAGATATATTAATTCAGTATCACAGATTCCCTTTTAGTTGAAATACATTAACTTTAAAAAAGATGTTCAAAAACAATGAAGAGGAAGCAATTAATTGCTTGTATGTTTTTCCAAAAGTTTTAAGGATGAAAATAGTGGCAGAAAGGCTACACTTCAGAAGATACATGCACACAGAAACCTTTCAGTGACTGAAAGTTGATTGGGAAAATATAAATACTACAGTTCTTTTCTCCCTACCTGATCGAAATTTAAAGGAACAGTCACTCCTGAGTATTCATACCTTCCTCTTGAATAAAAGAATTGGAAGATAACTAACTTTCTAGCTCTACTTCTCTTCCTTGTTCTTCCAAATACATAAATTGCATATAATGTAAATATGTATGTATTTCAGTTCCTGATTTACTTGATCCATGATATACATAAATTTAATATATTTTCATACCTTCTAATTTGATTATCTAACCTCCTCACTGATGCTTTCATTCACTAATGCACACACATCTCATAAACTGGTCTTATGAAAAAAATTTTTTCACCCCTTATCACATTATCTTTCAGTTATGAATTGGCTGGAGGTGCTAAATGGCAGATCCTTATTTGTCCCATACACCTCTCCACAGCACTGATTGATTCATGCACTGCATATTCTTCACTGTCACCTTACATGGTTGCTCTGCCCCAGCTGGTGTGTCCGCTACTCTTTTTACCCTGTTGACAGCGTTGGTCTGTACAGAACTATTGGATAACTATTTTCTCATATGTCCTCATATTTTCTTTGTGAGTAGCAGGGTGTTACCAATGACTCATTAATGTTTGGAATTGGTATTTTTTCATGAAAAAAAGGGAAGAGAAAGTTGAGTAAAACTGGGTTAAAAATTCCTCAGCTAACAAGTCTCGGGTTGTGTCTACATTAGCATTTTGGTTCAGATCCTCCTTGTAAAAATGTGCTGAGTGGTTTTGCTATGAACAAACTAGCTTCCTTTCAGAGGAAGCATATTGAGAAGCTCAACTTTAGGTGCACAAAATGAATGTTCTATCTCCTTTTGCAGACAAAGCGTTCAAAATTATTGACCGGTCCTTTTGACAATTTAGAATCATATGCAAACTTTTAGGAAGTGGCTGCAGATAAGGACAATCTAAATGTTATTATGCTACATTTTTATTTCTACAGGCAAGTGTAGGAGAAATTCAATTCTGTGTTGATCTTCACTTGGCATAAAGTTATTTTGGTAAAATTCTTAAACATAAGTATTTTTCCAAAGTGCTACTCACAAATAACAGACATTATTATTATCAGATTAATATTTCTCTGATGAAAATTATTTTGTATTTTCATCTCTGATGAAATTTTTGTATTTCTCCAGACTTTAATAGCTATAACCTTTTCAGATAAACCAGTTAAAAAATAAAGTCAGCACATTTTGATTACACACATACTATGGTGCCCCCAAACTTTTAGATTTAAAACAATCTGTCTTAAAATTCCTGAAATCTAGAAGAAAAAATCAATTATGAATATGTCCTGGTTTTAGCTGGGACAGAGTTAGCTCTTCTTTTTAGCAGCTAGAAGAGCTCCGTGTTTCGGTTTTACTCAGAGGCTCACTCTGAGAAGAATGTTGATAGCAAGTTGATGTTTGTAGTTGGTCAGGGACTTTTCAGTGTGCCGTGTTCTGGCTGGAGTGCAGAAGCACGGCGGGATAAGGGGGGAGCGTAGCCGGGCCACGATTCCCCTTGTGATTTGTGGTGGAACTTAAGATTGAGGGCCAAACTGGCCAATTAGTATTCCATATGATGCAGCGTCATGCCCAGTATAAAAGTGCGGGTCAGCCGGACAGAAGGGCTTTTTGTGCTTTTGCTCTTTCGTCGCTTTTGCTCTTTTGCGCTTGCTGTGCTTTTGCTCTATTGCCTTTTTTCCCTCTCTCTCCCAGTACTCCCACTCTCGGAGTACTATCTATCTCTCTCACCCCCTCTCTATTTTGGGGCCTTGCGCTCGTCTGGGATTGCAGCTTCAGGACGAGACGGGCTTCGCATAAGAGGGGGTGGTGAGCATCTACACTATGTATTACTTATCTGTATTAAATTGTTCTTATCTCAACCCACGGGTTTCCCGTTTCTCCTTTAATTCTCTCCCTCATCCCTGGGGCTGGGGGAGAGTGAGTGAGCGACTGTGTAGGGTTCAGTTGCTGGAGCGGCCTGACTCACGACAGAATATATTTTCTTTTTTTTTCTTCTGCTAAATGATTCTCATTGTAAATATGAAACATAAACAAAGCCTATCTGTTCTTCTCAGCTATATGGCAGGAAATATTCCAGCTTCAGACTTGTAGAGTGATAAACAACACTTTTGCTCATTCATGAGTCATTCAAATTAAGCTTAAGTGAAGATTTGCACCAAATAATGATGTATTACAGAAAGAAAATTATTTAGGATGGAGAGTAGTCTAAAAAGTAAACAGCAATCTGCATGAAGACATATTGCAGCAAACCTCTATATTTAATGAATAAAGTAGTTCAGATTCTTCTGAAAGTCTTAGTTTATGGATATTCTCTTATATTCTCATGCCCCCAGAAATGACAAGCTTCAACACAACTTTCATATTGCGTTCTAAAATCAGAACACTATAACAGCTTTGATTTCAACTGAAACTAAAATGTTAATTGCCTATAGAGTTAATGTTTCTACAATTAATACAATAACATAGATCAAGGTACACATGATAGTAATGAATGAAAACCCTGAAATTGTTTCACTGAGATCACGTTCATTTTATTCATACATGATTAATGGATTGGTGTCTGAGTATTCTAAATAAATGAAGATGCCTATATATGTACAACTAAATGGTTTCAAATTCTATAAATAGTATCTGCATAGTGATTTTCTCTCAGAAATAAGGCGGCAGTGCTCCTGTCAAAGTTTCCATGAACCTTTTTTTTTTTTTTCTGTATCTTTTGCTAGTGTACAGATTAATCATATAATATAACACTGAGTTCAGGTCTGCTATGCAGACATTTTATTGATGATATGTACTAAAGCTGACACATCTGGAATCCATCAGTCTTGCTGTTTATGTATAGGTCTGCTTTAGAGACATATGCAGCAATCCAGTGACACAGGTTTAGCATGTGGGGAAGATGCTGAAAAAAGGATTCAATCTGCAGAAAGGTAACTATAGTTATAATTTGATAAGAAAAAAAACTCAGTCACACACATACACATTTTTAAAATGCAGAACTCTCTTCCATGTCTGTGTTAATGAAAAGAGGCAAACTGATTCACTTTGCTTACTGTCGTCTGCTAGAGACAAAGTTGGCAAACCATGACAGTAGTATCCATACCTAAACATCTGGTCTCAATTCCACTCCAGAGTCCAGAAGACAAACATTCCCTCACGGCAGAGCCAACTAGCATGTATCCTGAGTCACAAGTAAATATAGCTGTAGATCCATATGTGATTTGAGTTCCGATCTTATTCCCATTCGGAGGTGTAGGAAGTTCTCCACAAGAAATAACTTTATGGCAAAACCAAAACAAAACAGAAATGTACAGCTGAGTATCACAAACACACATACAATAATACTTATCAACCAGTCAAATAAATTTCAACACAAAGTATTTTGCTCTGTAGAAAAAATAGATGAAAAACACTGCATACAAAGACTATTCTTTCCTAGAAATAATACTTAAGAAAGAGGCGAGGGACACCAATTAAAATTGTCCCACCGTTCAGAACTTCATTAATAGCTATTTAATTACCTTGGTTTTAACAATTACTTTTTCTTAATATTGGAATATCACGATTGTTGCTATTTAAAAAAATATCTTTATGTTTCTCTGGAAAGCTGTCGTCTTTATCTTCTAGTTCATAATGAAATGCTTGCCCTAGCAGTCGCTCAATACCTTATTATAATGAGTGAATGACGTGCATGGAACTTCTCGCTATTTATTTTCAATTCAAAGCATCTGTTCATTCAAAATATATTTTTTCTTTAATAATTTTAAGAATTAGTAAAAAGGACTTTACTACTACTTTATTAGTAAAAAAGATGGTGGATTATCAAAGGGTGAAAGCAGCTAGTGTACTTTGTGTTTAAAAAAAAAAACAACTAAGTGGTAATATTGCAAACAAAACTTCCCAAAACATAGTGAAAAATGTTTACCTTTATTTTAAAGAAAAAGGGTAATATATACATATTAGTATGTAAAATATCTATGTACGCAGAGATATATAGATACTGACATATACACAGTATTTTTAACAGTAGCAGAGGTGAATTAATTTTTGGAATTAACTTTTAAAAACCCTCTAAATTTAAACTACATTTCCAATAGGTTATAACAAACTATATTCCCAATACAATTAATCTGTTTTCAGAACTGCATTTTTCAGTCCCTTTTTTTTATTCATTTCAAATATATTCTCCACATATTCTAAATATATTCTAAACCATAGTTTTCTGGTTATCTATAATTTTTTTCTGCTTTTTAGATATGTGTGGATTTATACACATACATGCAGATACACGGAGTTTAGATATGCGAACCTAAACCATAGTCATATCCCATTCTATCAGAGTGTATGCCATGTGGTGTTTCAAAAATAGGAGGAGTTTTAGGGCTTCATAGTATATCAAAATGCCAGAGTTTTGAAAAAGAGACATCTAAATTTAAATATAGAAAGAAATCTACTTTTCAAAGGGGTGGGGAGGGGAGAATAACTGTAGCCATACATTTAGCTTGTTTAAAATATTCGAATGTTCATTACTTATTTTCTTAAAAGTAGCTATTGAAGGTTACCAGGATATTAGCTAATGGTAGGAACGATTTGGGCTTGCAGACTATATGGTAACCAGATGAAAGGAAAGATTATTTTATTTCTCAAGTGTGCAGACAGGATACAAAGTTTTTGCATTTTTCTAGACTCTACAGCTTTCCTGACCTAGAAAAATATTTAGGAAAATGTTCTCTATTACTTATTTGTACCTTCATGGATTTAAGGACCTTTAAGTACAGAAGTGTGCTTACAGATATTTCCTTGTCACTGCAACTAATGAATTGTTTTTGTAAATAATAGCCTTTACAATATCCAGGAATTCCAGCTAGGAAACATTCTTCTAATTAACTGATTCCAATATTTAATTATTTAACTTCTAATTCAGCCAAATACAATATTTTGGTATGAAGTCTGTACAGCAGATGCAGATACAACATGTACTCACTTTGGCAGTAAGGTCGCTCATTTCTCCAACTCCAGGTGCCATTAGCAAGACACTCGATAGATGCTGGTCCCAAACCATAATACCCTGGATCACAGCTGAAAACTACTTTTGTTTTATACTCATAATGTGAACCATTCACTATTTTCCATCTTCCATGTTCCAGTGTAAAAGAATTGATGCTTGGACATGTAACAACTTCCAGAATAACAAAAACACATAGTTATTTGTGGTTTAGTACAGGTAAATTAGGAAAATCTGTACCATTATTAATTCAGAAATACATTTTAAACACAGTGATACAATGTTTGAAGAGTAAGGCTGTGTTTGAAATTGCATGTGGTTAGCAGGTACGAGTTCTCTCATTTAACTAATAATGATCCATGGCCCAGATGGAGCAGCAACTGTGTATGCAGAGCTATGCAATCGGTGTACATAGAATCTATACCATGGTTAAATTCACTGTAGATTGACAGTCATGGAACTTCTGTGACAATTTACATCAGAATCTTTTCTAAAATATTAGCTAAGTTTCAATATAGGGATTATTTTTCTATCCAGGTAAATTCTGTGAGATCTTAAAGACTCATTTGGAGAGGCTGCGCATTGCTGACAGATAAAATAATATCCATATTCAAGATGGCTTTCCAGCAGCTACACATTTTTATCTCATGTCTTTAATTCTATGTGGTCTTCCTCCAAAAACCAAATAAAAACATTCTACAACTCTGTAACAAATTTTTCCACAATCAAAAGGCACACAGGAAAATCTTTGCTGGATGCTACTTTCTTTCTTTCCATTCAAATTGTTTCTTTAGATAGAGGAAAAGGCATGAGGAAAGGCAATTTACCAAACCAAGAAGAAGGAAAAAAAAAAGGACAAAGGGAAAGTCCCTGAAAATTATTCTAGGGTTTTTTTTTCTTTCCTTTCCAAAGTTAATTGTGTGAGATAATCTAAATCTTAATGCACATCAGACACTTGGACATTTCTGTATCAGTCTTACGATCACCTGGGTTTTCATACCCCATTTATAACTCTGATGGTATCCAGTTCTCTTTGGGACTGAACATGCATTTTCATTTCAGTGATGTTCCCCCAAGTTAGATGGTGTAGGTTTACAATGATGGGCTGGATATAAATAATAAGCAGTAGATTCAAACAAGTATCTCAGAGTACCAAAGACTTTGCAATTCTGGATAGCAAATAGGAGTTTGTTAACAGTATACGAACTGTGAAAGTCTCACTGAAGAGATGGCTTTTGCATAAATCTCTGCAATCACTAACTTTGATTTAGCTGCAAATTAATTATCAGTTTGAATGTATTCTATAATCTCTAGTGCACTTCTACTGTCACAGAATGTTTCAACATATATCTCAGATACATACATTTCAAATATCTATTTCACAATTACTTAATACCAGCAATTATTCATAGATTAAAGTAACCTGAAGCTGAAAGTTTAAGTAACGTGAAGAATTGCACCTTGGATAAATAAACAAAATGTACAAACAAGTTGTTACTCATTGGAGAGCTCTTACATGTTACTTACCTACGCAGCGAGGTGTTTTATTGTGATTGCTCCAGGTACCATCCGGCTGGCAGACTGCAGTAGTAAGTTCCTTAGCCGATAGTCTATATCCATCATTACAAAAATAAGTGACACGGGTGCCAACTAAGTAATCTGTAGTTAATATCCCACCATTTGATGGAGCTTTAGGAATTCCACAAGATATTGCTGAGTAAAGAGAAATACATAGCTGTTTTATATCTTCTTTGCGATAAACTTCCACTCTCAAAAGGTTTATGCATTGTAACATCAACAGTCTTGATTTCATAAAAATGACTTTTTAACTCATTAATGCGTGTTTTAAGCCTACAAATAAATTACCTCAAAATTTATAGGGAATTAAATCTCACAAAGCTTTTGTTTTTTGGTGAAGAAGGTTAAAAATAAGAACAATGATTCATAACTCTGCAGCTATCCATTCAAAATGCAGAAGATAATCAAAGAGGAAATAGAGAATATCTGGAAAATATACGATCATCATGGTAGAATGAGTAAAGCACCAATCTGAATCATTAGGAATTTAGCTTGTAATTCAGGTTTCTTCCATCAGATGTACTGTGTGACCTGTGCCAAAGTGCTAAAACTTACTTTCAACATTCTATTTTTCCTCCTGCAAAGCAGAAAGAAAATATCCTTTTGAAAATATTGAAAATTGGCAAACGAAAGTGTTAGCCACTTTTTTTAGAAAAAGAAAGCAAGTAACAAGAGAAGATCTGGCTCTGAATAAGGCACTGTATGTTTTGGGAATAAAATTAAAACTAAATCTTTTCTGCATTTTAATACTATAAATCTATCGCAGATTAGATCAGAAAAAAAAGGGCTTAAGCACTTAACTCTTAAGTATTTTACTTTGAAGTGGAATCTTGAGCCTTGAGAGACCATCTATCTTGCCTACACAGAAATATGAAAATTAAGCCTCTCAGATTATGTATAAATACACGATAAAAAAGAGTTATCTATTTTTACCCCTGTTGCGAGCTGATCTGACATAAGACAGATCTGCTTCACAAGCAGTGTAACAACAGCGTGGCACCATAACAAAGGTAATAATCACAGCTGAGACACAGGGAAAACTCTAATGCTACCACAGAACACAGGTTCTGTTATGCAGAACACAGGTGATAGGATCAATGTTAAAATATACTTAAATTGCCATAAAAAGAAACTCCATATGACATGTAAATTTTTTTTAAAAGGACACATACTGAAAAGATGACAGAAAACCATTGTTAATTTGCTTACCACCTTGTCTGGGCAAATATAAAAACATGTATCTTATGGCTATCACAATATCTACTCGTAACTAGAGACAAACACATGTTTAGAAGAAAAGAAGTAAACTGATTAGGAGACAATGAAGGCTCCAAGAAAGTAATTGAATTGCATCTTCCAGAGGGTATGAGGACATAATCCCAGAAGGATAAAAAGTGACAAGTTAACTAAACCAGGTCTGTCTTCCATTTCTTACTAAACATCTGACAAAGCTGTACTACTTCACCTCCATGACACAAAAATGAAAAAATATTTGGTGTTTAATATATCTCAAATTCCTCAATAGTTTGGATTGCAGCAGCAAACATTAGGCAAACCTATCCATGCAGAGGAGGATAATTAAAAGCTGGTATGACAAAAGTATAATCAAATAACACTGTTTACTACGTAATTGGCCAAGATAACCTCTTCTTTCAAAACCACGTTAATTATAAAAAGAAGCTTCAGACAATAATGGAGTTGCCAGAGCCAAGTCCACTCCCAGTTACATAACAGCCAGCATTCAGCAGGGTATAAAAACTAATATCCACCCCAAAAGACTTGTAACATAACAGCTGTTGCTTACAATCCTGAGCACCAACAAATGCTACAACACTACTTGTTCACAAACTGCAAATTCTGTCTCTTTTAGCAATCAGCAAAATATATATCATGTATTTTGTAGCTACAACATGAGATATTTTATATCTCCCATTGAGATTAATTACTCCTTCAGTGTTCAAAAATCTCCATTAGTGACTTGATCCATTTTGATTCATATTATCAATGTTAACAGAATATTTCTCGTGGCACAAGAAAAATATACCCTTCCCCTAACCTTAAATTTTTAAGAAACAAGTTTCATCCCAGCACACAAAATGCTCGATAACAGCCTTTTCTATAAACAGAGCTCCCAAGAAATCACTCAATGAAATTTTTAGTTTATAGCAGTTATGAGCTGAATTTCACATATGTGGAAACTTGCATAGAAATTTAGCTTTAAGTTAACGGAAAAAACGTGAAAAGATCAAGAAAAGTTATTGTCACATCTGATAACTTGACAGGAAGAAAATGACAAATATGGAACATCCAAAGTGCTCAAAAAACAAGTCTGTCACAAAAATGTTTGATCACTATATGTCAGCTTGGAAAATACTGCAAATCAACATAATGTAATCACAACTGAAACATTAAAATCTGCTCTTTGTTCAAAAACTTCAGAACACAGTTCTAATTCCAAAGATATAGACATACAGCCCTTGGAAGACCTTAAATTTATTAGTTCTCAAAGACCACTAGCACCTTCTAAAGACTCGTCTGAAATTTCAGGAATTATTATTAGATGAGAATGAAGTTCTTAAATACCCTTCATTAAATGTTAAGGCAGTATTAAAAGTTTTTCTGATGACATTTTCCCAAACCGAAATCAGACTATTCACCCTATAAAGGATCTCCGATCCTTGGATTTGCTCTGCCTCACTTAAGAACAACACTTAGCAGATGTAGCTACCCTTCACATCTCAGGGATACGAGAAGAAACTGAGTATCAATGCAGACATCAGTCTAGAGCTGATAACATTTGCTAGGAGCATTTCAAACATAGACAAGACTACTGAAACTTTCAGTGACATACTCCTCTGAACTTAACTATTCAGACATTCAACTTGCAAAGAATTAAGAAATTTTATGAAAACTAAGTTTCCTGTAGATTGCCTTACAAATCACTTTAACGGATGTCAGCTATTTCTTTGGCATTTAGTAAGTTATCAGTTGAGTTCTCACACCTGTCCCAATACAGCCATGCATTTGGCAATAAACAGAAGTCTATTTTGAATAAATATAAAACTTACTTATGTTATACATAGCTATATTAATTGTTCTAATATATATGAATATGACTATGTAAAACTTATAGCCATGTCTAAAAAAAATGTAAAGATAGAAGGTATTATGCTTTACACATCAGATACTTGTTCCAGACCATTACAAATGTACTTTATCTTTTGAGAAAATCGTAACTCATCAGGTACCATACCTAACTAGGTATTCTTGGTATTCTTCTCTTTTCTTTTTTTTTCTTCCTTAATGCTTTAGTATAATTTGCATAATAAATACCAGTTATGCAACACTTTTGTCTGCTGTTACGGACAATTTTGATTACTGAGCTAGATAATTCTGCTAGATGTAGCGTTATGTTTTAAACTTTACTCACTTAACATCCCTGGAAGTCCTGTGAAAGCATTTGCCTGTTATCCATATATGATATTACAATATATAAATACTGATTTGTAATGAAGCTTGTGTAAGACAATGTTTACTTGCAAAAGAAATATTTCATAAGTAAAACCACGAATCATGTAATGCTAGGATAAAAAAAAATACATAAAAAATAACTAAGAGAAAAACAAACGTTTTAAACCACTTTGAATCTTCTGAGGTCTATGATCAGTTGTAAATATTCAACTGTTTATATGAATTCATGTTAATTCTTGTATTCAGGTAGATCATTGTAAATTATTCATTCTTTCAAAAGTTATCGTAATCAGACCTCATAATTTAGTTAAGTGGGGTAATCTTTTATTGACTTGTGATCAAAGGTTTAATATCATTAAAACTGAGATGGCTACATGGGTGACAACACATTTGCATTATGATTAACTCAATGCATGTCTATACAAACAGAATAATTAATATCTTAAAAGTTACAATAGTAAAAGGATGTAATTAATTTGTATTATTGTTTCCAGTATACTAATAAAATACTTGATTTTGGATCAGTTTCCTTTTACTTCTTTTCATGACAAAGGAAGGATACTTCTGTATTAACTTTGAAACAGGCTTCTGGTCGTTGCTGAAGTTTGGCTTGAGGCATTTCCTTTTTGATTCCTTACTACTGCATTGAGTCTCTTCTACTGAGATATGCACAGTTTTATAAATAAGGTAAAAAAGCTTTCATCCAAGCTTAAATTTTGTATCTGGATTTTTCAAGTTCTGTCAGTCCTTTAGTGCAAGTGATTTGAAGAATGGTTGGTATTATCTACTTGGAGGTTCAGAGATTAAGATTTCTATCCATATAGGTATAAGAATGAGAATATTAAAAATTGCTCTAACATTATTCATGAACCTGGAAAAGAAAAATCTGTAGTGGAAAAGGCTACTGGTATTCATTTTTCCAAGAGAGGATTCAGAAACTATAATAATGGTATGGATTTAAAATGTAAAGAGAAAGTATCAGTTTAAATACAGTTATGAAACATCCTGCAGATAGTAAAAATGTTTGCCAAAAAATGGACTTAATATTGCTTTAAAAAAACCAAACCCAAAGTACCAGAAGCCACTAGATGTGCTGATTGTAGAGGTATCATTAAAAAGTTCATAAATTTTGAGACCTTAGATTTCTCATTTCCTGTAGGATGATGCCAGTAACTACTATTGCGATTGGTAATCTTTAGTTAGGAGACAGAAAACAGATTAAAATGAGATGCATTTTTTTTAAAGAAATTGCGAATATCTTTTTTTCCCCTTGCATTGATATTTAAAAAAAAAAAACAACCAAACAAAATGCTTAATACACTTTTTTGCTATGTTAAATAGCCATCAGTGGCAATCCGACATTCAGACGTGTGCAAGAACTGATTAAAATGGCTTTGCTAGTCATGCTATAAATGATAGAGAATGTAAAGCAGAAGATAAGACTGTGAAGTCATCTGATATAACCTGACAAAATAGTTGGTAAATTCTGACTGACAAGTATAATAGTTGTCAAAACAATGCCCATCCTTTATATCATGAAGCTCTAAAAGCCACTAGTCCATACCACTTTGTGGTGAAGCTGTACTGCTCAGTAGTAGGGGGAATGGCAAAGCCCTTATGTCTTATAAAATTCTTCTGTGAAAGAACGTGAGGGATATTTACTGATGGTGTTCTCAACCTTTTGATATAAGAGTTCATATAAATATTCTGTATCATCCAAGTATGGACAATAATTTTCCTCAGCAGAACAGCGGGAAGCTTAGATATATAACTGATATACGGAAGCAGCGTATTCCCGAGGGGTTTTGCAGTAACAAGGTGTCTTTAGGCTAAATCTGAAGAGTTGGCTGTTGTGAGTTGCAGCTACATATCATGGCTACAAACGACTTTCTGCATGTAAAGACTTGCTAGAAGAATTGAATAAAGTTCATACCATGTATCAAAGCTAGCCCTCATTAAATGTATAATCATAATTAACTGATTTCAGTTAATACAAATATTAAATAATTTTCAATACACTAACGGTTGGTAACAACAGTCTTTGTACTTGATCAGACACCATGAGATTAGTAAGTACTTGACTCCACTCGTTCCTAAAGTATTATCGTAGTATTGCAGCTATTTCCATTACTGAACTCTACTCAGTATGTTGAGAATAATCATCTGCTATTTGAATTTGGTAAGTTGTTTGTTTTGTTTTTGTTTTTGTTTTTTTATTCCATATTGTTTGATACATCTCATTAACAGTCTGATCAAGTTCTATAAATAACTGTCATGAAGACAATCCTTACATAACTGATGAGGAGAAAAAGCTAAAACTAATATGTAGCAAGAGCACTGCCTATACATTTATTTATTTTTTTGAGGACTTTCAGTTTTAAAAAAATACAGTCACATTTTTTATATATTAACAGAAATGCATGAAAAAACTTTGAAACTGAGATTGTTTCAGCTTTGACAAAGGTCAGGCAGTTTTGCTTTAGAAACATTCAGTTCAAATCATTTTTGTCAGAAAAACAACTCGTGGGAAAATAACATGGAACATTCCTATAGCATTTTTTTCCATTGGTCAAGAGGAACAAAATTTACATATTTTGAACACACACACACATATATATATATATGCAAATTTTAATGAAAAAAATTGTTCTAATAGTTCACTGAAGAGTGACATAGGTAAGTTATGAAAACAATATCATTCTTTTCAGGAAAAGAAGAATTAAAATACAATTTTGATGGGTATTAAATAACCATATCCTTTTCCTTGTTAAGTAAAATATATTTTGCTTTTATAAGGCAGAAGAAACTAAATATACAATTAATTCAATGAGTTATCTTTTAAATTTCAATTTAAACCTTGAAAGATTAGAATGACATCATAGGCAATGCTTTTTTTGGTCCAGTTTCCTGTTCTTGGAAATGTAGCAAGTTTCAAGTCTTTCTGGTTTTTATATAGTTCTTGGATCATGATAAACAAACTTTACTAAATTTTCAGTTTTAAATGAATGTTTTGAATAATTTCATATATTAAAATGTTGGGTTTTTTTTCCCTCACAGTGATTACTTTTAGCAACTGCCAGTCAGCTAATTCTTTTGAAATACGATTTCTTAACAATACATTTGGGTTTGTACGTTTTACTAGGTAGGAAAATTCTGGTACAGAGGCATGACCGTTAAACGATTACCTGCTACTCATTTTAAGTCAGAAAACTGTTCACTTACATTAGAAAAGTAAAATGAAAGTTTCTTTCAAGTGTGTTATTTTATAATGAAAGAATTTACCTTGACAAGCTGGAACTGGAACATCCCATGCGTAATAACCATATGGAGACTTCCTGCATACGGCAGTACTTTTCCCAACGAGACGAAAACCTCGATCGCAAGCCCAGCGAACCATACTGTTGAGCTGTCCACCTGTCTGACTGACAATGAAACCATGTGGAGGGGACTCTGGAGTACTACAGTAGAGAGCTTTAAACAGAAATATTAAATAAACAAAAGATGCATTTAGAATCCAAATGACAATTCTTGAGAAATTTTTGTTGAATTCAGTGGACGCCTGATAGAATATCACTAAAATTTGTTGTATTTTGTATCCTGATCATACATGCATCAAGCAATTTCACTAAGTATAAAGGTGAAAAAATAAGGCTTTATAAGGACTTCATGTTTTAGTAACCCCAGAGGAAATACAGTGACAACTCAGTTCTGTAACTGCTTTGTTGTCTTTTTCTGTATACTGCACGTAATTCTTTTCAAACAATCTTTTCCTTCTGGTCCTAAATAAGTTATTTCTTTCAAGTTCTGTGATACAATGACCTGAAGTGAACTAGCAAACCTAAAATAGATTTTAATCTTATTTATGAGTGTCACTATAAATCTACGGCAAAAAAACCCTCACAACTGAATCTGATTTTTTTGTCTGTGATTTATTCGGAACACAGAAAGTCCTACAGAAGTCTTATTAGATACTATGAAAAAAAAATTAGAGACCTTTATGAGAGCAAAAAGATCTGCAAGACATATAGTTATAATCTGAAAGGACTTTATATCTCTATGACATTAAAGATTGCTTGCTTATTATACTGTCATTATGCTTATATTTCTTTTAATTTCCTTGTTCACTAAGTCCATGAGCACAAAGTGAGTTGGTTTTGGCTATGTTGCCAAAGGAGAAGACCAGAAGAGACTTACAACCTGGTAGCCAGTTTAAGATAAACATTGTTTGTTTATGAATTTAATTTGGTCTCTGATTGTTTCATTTCAAAGACAACCCAAGACTGGTTAGCCAAGATGGCCATTTTCCCATTTTGTAGGAAAGAAAATTAAGTTGGAAGTTTGTTTCCAAGTGCTTCCTTCATGCTTTGAAGAATGTTGGTAACTACTGGTATCTATTTTTGCAGGCAAATAGAAAAGTGCTGTTTCACTTGCTCTTTAAGCCTTTCCATGACCCATGACTTATTTTAGGTCAATGGGCAAAGTCATGTGGCTGTTCGTTTACTCTTTATTAAAGCAAGCAGCAGAATGAGCAGCACTGCCGTATTTTTCAGAGCACAAAGTATGTAAATATTTTCTTCCTTACACTACATACTCCCGCCTTACACTCTTGGAAGAACCACAGATACAGAAACCTTTACTTCTTTAGTGTATAAGAAAATACACTGATAATTTCTGAGTGATACAGATCACTAGTCCAAATTTCCTGTCTACCTCTCAATAGTTCTCCTACTGCCAGCAGGGAAAGAATTTTAAGAACCTTCTCTTTCTCTTTTAACAGATCCAACAGCACTGCAGGCAATGAAAATCGGGACCACACAATATTTTGTGTCTATCCAACAGTGAATTTTCTCTAGCCGTACAACAAATATTTTACCTTTGAGAAAACTATCCTCTCCTAAAGGGAAAGGTGACACTGATACTGTTTTATAGACAGTTGTGAGCAATAGTGAAGTAGCCAAAAATTGAATAAGGAAAACAAAAAAAAATACAGCAGAAAGAAGAATTTTATATTTATTCTCTATTGCTTTTTCCACTTTGTAAAGTGAAATTGTTTTATGCCTATAACTTCTCTAGTATCTGCAGATACTATTCCCAGTACTTTTAATTCTGTGTATTTCTTGTCTTTGGTCAGGATAAAAAAATCAAATATAGATTTTATGTAATTGTCGTAAATTGCAACAGATCTACTTTAGTTTGATTAATGAATATTATTATCCTGTAAAAATGAATATTACATAATAATTCTATAAAAGCAATTATATAAAAATCAATCTTTGTTAAGTATCATCTTCACACACTATTCATAAATATGTTTATTTGGATTAATAAAACACAGTGTTGACTTTTTTGACATACTAATTGATCTCTTCTAATATCATTTTCTGCTTCTGTTGAACCTTAAATTAAAGAGTTCAGTCCTTTAGAGTATCACATTTTTTCACCTTATAGCTGTTCAATCCTGTCTTGTTGCCATCTCTTCTTCTGTCCCACCAAATGTGTTAACAATGAATTGCATAAAGATCCAGTACGAAGAACAGAGGCACATGACTGCAAACAAATGACGGGAGAGAGAAGGGAGATGCTCCTTCTTTTCTTTAGTACTGGCTCGTGCCATTTTAAAGTCCTGTGAAACATTTGCTTATATCTCTACAGAGCACATGTGCTTCATATATCCTACTTAGGGTGTGGGTTGTTTTTTTTTTCCTCACAAGATAAGTATCATCAGGTTCAAATACAAAACAGATTGGATTTCCTTTCAGTGTGGGCAATTAACGTTACAAAACATAGCTTACATTACCCTTTTACCATAAATAAATATGTTCCATATTAGAATTTCATACACACTAAAGAAAGCCTGATTTACATACCTATATATCTTATCCTGAAACCTTTTTTATTGGTGCCATGATCTGCTGACCATCGGAGAAATACTTCATGGCCATTGCTAGTTATATTTAGAGAAGATGAATAGTCCCCACTGAGAGAAATGAGCAATGGGCTATGACTATTTGGTCCTTGATACAAGGAAGAAAAAAAAAAAAAACAAACCAAAAAAAAGGAGTTACAAAGTTTAAATAACATACAATAAATTATATGCATATAATTAATATACATAGAAGACATCCTCCAAGCAAATGGTAAATTAATCTGAATTCAAAATGGAAGTAGACATTACATGTTATACACTAAAGAGTACATATTTGTTCAGAAACAAAATTATTTCTAAACATAATTAATGCAGTACAATTTTGAAACACAGTAATCCAACAATTCTTTTTAGAACAACGAATCCAAATAATTACTTTTTAAGATTTTTTTATACTGACAAATTATGATATGCATAAACAATAGTGATTACACAGATAAAATGTAAAGATGCATATATATAGAAAAAGTATAATCCAAAGTTGTGCATCGTATAGTTACCATCAAACACCTCAAGTATATCAAATTCCTTCTCCGTCTGGAAGAATTCGAAGAACATGCTGATGTTATAACCCTTTTCCACAGTAATGGTCCACGCACACATCTGGAGATTTGGGTAGCTGTCAGGGTATCCAGGGCTCAGTATTACTCCTGTTGAATCCAGACGCATTTCATTGGCTGGACAGAGCACTGTGAAACAGAATGGTAAAAAAATATAAAGCCCAGTATTTCTGTTTCATGTGATTGACAAGAATTTCCTGAGTTCTAAAGATCTACATTACTCATTTAATTTCCCTACATACAGAAAGACTGATAATATTTTAGAAACAAAGTCAGTTAGCAGAAAAAAAATTGAAAGTGATGTTTATCTTGAAAATCAGCCTTGCAACCCTCAGAAGTTACCAATTCATGAAATTTTCTTTCTTTCATTCTCTAGAAGATAAAATATTCTTGTAGGCTGCGCTTAAGTACTAAGTTGCTAAATTGTTCAAAAAGTGAAGCATAGACTTTTTTTCTGTCTCAGTTTACTATTACTGTCAGCACTAATTCCATGTAAAGTCTTGCACTGAAAGCAAAACTTGGAGACACTGTGATTTTTGGTTGCCAGATTCTAAATAAAGATTAATCAATCCCTCCCACAATCTGTGAAAAGCAGCACCTAAATTTTGAAATCCTCAATCGAGCTCCAAGAAAGTCGATGTACCCACATACAAAGCAAGTGCTATTCAGACATCATGTCTTTGGTCTAGAAAATAAAAGACACATTTCAGGCTGACATTCTGTTTCTCAGTAGGACTCCATAGGATTAATCCAGCTACCTAGTTTTTAGAATCACAGAAAACGCCGAAAATGCTAGGTTATTGCCTTTATATGCAATAAAAACCACTTAAAATTCTATTTTTTCCTTCACCACAACTCACACAGTCCCATTTCTTTCCTATCTCTTACCAAAAGAAGCAGCAAAGAAGAAGTCTTAAAATCAAAGCCTATGACTAGCAGTCAAGATGTTGTTGTTATAATCCTGAATGAGATAGAGAATCTCAGGTTGACTTTGGGAAATTCATGTAATTGTTCCTCCTTTTAAAAACAGGTACAACAGTTCACCACATGACAAAAACTTTCTGAGGAAATAAAGATCAAATTAAGAGGAAGAAAAATAGGCAATTTCTGCCTCATGTAAAGTAAAAATCCAAAAATTGCTCTGAGAGGCATTTATTTATTTCTTTGTTTATTTATTTATTTGCATTTTAGCTCAATGTTCCTCACCATACACCAGTTCTTTCAAGGCATAAAAGCTATGTAACTGTGTCATATATGTTATGTGCATATTGAATCTATATCTACAAAGCATTTTATTAAATCTGTGTATGAAAGATTTTTGGTTATACATCCACTTTTCTGATGCACTCCCAAGCTCAGGAAACAGGACACTTTCCTCCTTCTAACATAAAGACAGACTATTTTCCTGATGAGTGGATGTAAGTCAGCTGAAGTATATATTAGAAAAATCTGAAGTTCTTAATTGCTGACAGCCTTTTTCTGAAAATTAACTCTAGGAAATAAGGAAAGGGACATGCTATACCTTTTTTGCTAAAATACTACCAGGAGAGGTTAAACCTCACAATATGACAGTGTTTCCTGCAGGGATAAAAGAAGACACCTGCTCCGTTCCTGTGACTTCAGCAGGTATTGCCTACCATACTTTCACCTTAATCCAAAGAACTATTTTTTCTTATATTCCACATCATATTCTGAAGTTACTAATCCTTCACTTACAGCTCTGCTAGAAAACACATAGCATCTCTGAATATTCTTAGTTGTTATAGTTTCAAGAGGGATAGAGAATGGTAGCAGAAAAAATGCTACATTGTAAATAAGTTATCACCATTATTTAAAGCAGCTGCTGAAATTGAGCAAAATGGTGTTTAAAAGTATGATGAAGAGGTTTGATTTTGAATTTATCTGGATTCACTAGGTCTACACAATAAAATAATAGGATCTTAGATTTCTCAAGAACACTGAAAATAATTTTGGCTTATTAAATACAAAAATCGGATTTTTATGGGGAAAAAGTCATTGGGCTATGAAGAAAGATAGAGAACACAGAAAATCAGAAAAAGAGAGAGAAAAAGAATAATCATCTTTGTAAACAAAACTCACGAGACAGATAGAATCATAGAATAGTTTGTGTTGGAAAGGACCTTTGAGGTTCATCTAGTCCAACCTCCTGCCACAAGCAGGGATATCTTTCACTAGATTAGGTTGCTTGAAGTCCCATCCAACTAGACCTTGAAAAAGATGAAGGAATCTGTCCATATATTTTAAAATATTCATAGAATCATAGAATGGTTAGAGTTGGAAGGGACCTTAAAGATCATCTAGTTCCAACCCCCCTGCCATGGGCAGGGAAACCCTCCACTACACCAGGTTGTCCAAAGCCTCATCCAACCTGGCCTTGAACATCTCCAGGGATGGGGCATCCACAACTTCTCTGGGCAACCTGTTCCACTGCCTCACCACCCTCTGAGTGAAAAATTTCTTCCTTATATCTAATCTAAATCTCCCCTCTTTCAGTTTTAAAAAATAGCATCTAATTACTAAATTTAAATAGCTGTTTCATACGTCCCATGTTTGTCTCAATTAATCAAGCAGTGATTGAATATACCACCTTCACTCCACATGAGAAAATTCATATGGCTAGAATATGCCTGTCAAACTACAGTGCTGGGCTGACTTTACCTCAAAAAAATGAAAGAACTGATGCTCTCAAGCTTTATATGTACATATATGATAAAAATATGTTGCTGCTTACTTTATGTGAACAGTTTGAATGGTACTTTTAAACACGTTTTAACAGATTCCTTTGATTATTTTTAATTTTTTTTTAATTTTCAGAGACTACTAACTCTGAATATTACACTAATTTCATTCAGCTTTAGACTGAAACAATAAGACCACTGATTTAATATTTAGTATTTTATCCAATATTTAGCATTTATATGTGACAGAGGAAAGGTTAACTATGGTAACTGAAGTCATTATTCCTGATTTTTTGCCCTGGGTCTTGTGATGAATATAAATATGCCTTCAGCAACACGTACTGAAAGAGTGCCTCAGGATCAGTGCATGTTTCTGTTTGTTCTATTATTACATCTTTTGAACATTTAAAGTAGTGCCTGGAGGTTACTGTGGTTTTCTACTCATTAAATGCTATGAAGCCTGCTAAGTTAGGATTTTAATTTAAATTTCAGTGTTGGAAGCTATTCCTAGACACAATTGTACCTAAATAAATGCAAGGATTTTCATAAATTATCAGTGTTAAAGTTTTTATAAAACTCACAATTCAAGATCACTTTTCATTTCTAAGAACTAGACTTAGTGCTACGAATTATTTTAACTTTTGCATATTTTAGTGCATAAAACCAGGGGAAAACCGTTTATTCAGCAGTAGTAGTTGACCCTTCCAGTTTTTCAGGAACGTTGTAAAAGTGTGTATTTATAAGACAGTAATTTTTCAACTCTCAGCTGAAAACTGAGTTAAACATTGTAGTCATAATTAAGTTCTAAAAATTAGTATGCTGATGTTTAAATTTGTAACAACTAAATTGTGCAGCAGTTTGAAACTTCAGAAATTACTAAGAAACTGTCAAATATTATATTTTTACCTGTAAAGGTAGTAGATTTATTCACATTTAATGTACTATTTCCAAATAAATCTTTAATCATGAGTGTTTTATAGATATGCAAATTAATTAAAATTGCTGGAGGAAAGAAAACATACCAATATCTGATTGGTAGAAAACCCAGACAGCAGTATTTTTCATTTAACACAAATATAAATCAACTGCATTTGTTATGACTGATTGAGAAAGTATTTTAATCTTGCAGTAGATGTTAGCATATTACACTCAGGAGTAGATGGATCACAAAGGACTAATGCAACAACTAGCAGGATTCAAAATGGCTTTTGTTTGCATAAATTATACTTTAATGAGACTGGAGTTTGAGGGTTTTTACCACTCAAAATGCCTTATCATTCATGTTTATAACTATATGTCCTTATTTATCTTTCTGAAAATAAATGGAAGAATTAGTAAGAAAACATAAACATATGTCCATCACCGAAACTTTCAAGAGATTAAATAAATAATGTGCGAGGTTTATATCCATAAGCTCCCTAATTGGTTTGATATGAAACAAAACTCTCGCATTTTCTTCAAAAATTATGGAAAAATTGTATTTGAGCATGGCATATCAAATATCAGGCTAACAAAGACTGGTTTAAACTGCGATGTTAGTGGTTGGCAGGATTGTAATCTTGTTTCAACCTTAACAATGAGGTAGCGTTGTATCTCTCTAGTCACAGTTTTCAATAAAAGGAGGAAAACATGGACAGAGGCATACACACACACACATACGGAAAAGCTATTCTGTAGAATACACTGAATAAAAATGGAAGCACCTAAAGTTGCACTGAAAAATGATGTCATGATCTTGTTCACCCTAACTGTTAACTCAGCATTTTTTGAAATTTCCATATAAATTTTCGTACTATTGTGTTCTAAATAAAATTAAATAACTTATTCAATTTCTTGAAACATTACTAATATTTTTGCATTAGTATTTGACACACATTCACCATAACAAACAGTGATAATGTCGAAAATAACATCAGAAAGTCTGAAATATTTTCAATGTGCTGTCTTAGAATCATAGAACGGTTTGGGTTGGAAGGGACCTTAAAGATTATCTAGCTCCAGCCCCACTGATGTGGGCAGGGACATCTTCCCCTAGATCAGGTTTCTCAAAGCCTCATCCAACCTGGCCTTGAACACTTGCAGGGATGGGGCATCCACAGCTTCTCTGGGCAACCTGTTCCAGTGCCTCATCACTCTCATTATAAAAAATTTCTTCCTTGTATCTAATCTAAATCTCTCCTTTCTATTTAAAGCCATTACCCCTTGTCCTATCACTACAGGCCCCTATAAAAAGCCCCTCTACAGCTTTCTTGTAGGCCTCCTTTAGGAACTCTTATGGAAAGAGATAGAGGATATTTAAGGAATAATCATTTAGCTGTTTTGATAGGAGGAGAAGAAAAAGGAGAAAAAAAACCTTGACAGGTAGGTGGTGCTCCATCCATCTGAAGCCTTTCACCTAGTCGGCATGTCAGAATCTCATTACCAACCAATGTAAAGCCTGGTTGACACTGGTATCTTATTATGTCTCCTGTTCAGAAAAATAAAACAAGACAAAACACAAACAAACAAAAGAAACATTAAACAGCAATTAACTGTGACTTTTAGCTTTGAAAACATTATTGATTAATGAAGTTTCCTGCCACCATATATAATGGGCTAAATGACCTCTGGCACAAACAACTTCGATTAGTCTAAGAAATGTGGTAAATGAGCATTGTGTTGCACACTATGCTGCATCTATCACTGTTTTCCACCACATTATTAGTTGGATAGTTTGCTAAGTTGTCTGAGTTTGACTGATGCTGTGTGAATCATGTGTCCACAAAGCTTTAAGCAATATGATTTATTGGATAACCATTATGAAACTAAATAAAGAGATAAGATCAAGTCAGTAACTCATACAATCCTGAGGCAGGGGTGGGGGGGGAATTAAATAGAAACTGGATTTAATTGATGATATACATAAATTTGGCATGGTGAGAATAAGAAATCATCATTTTTTAATTAAGAAATTGAAAATTCATAGAATTTTATGTATCGATAAAAGTAAGAATTTGTACATCCCAGCAGTTCTCTTTGGTCCAGATTACAAAGCAGGATATAGCAGGATATCAATATAACTAATCAAATATTGGTATATATTAAATTTGTTCTTCTTTATCATAATGTGAGCAAAACTAGCTGGTCAGACATCTGATGTCTCATCATGTAAGTCATATTTCTTTGAATGATATGTGGCTACGTAATATTATTAACATATCTTAGAAGGTCAGAATGTTATCTTCTTCTCAGATCCTCCTATTTTTTACAAATTTTATTTTATCCTTAGGTCACAGAATCTTAATTCTGATACAGAATCTACCATTGTATGCATAGGGGTTTTTGTGTGTTTTGTTTGCTTCAGTAGCAGAAACAGTTTTATATTAAACATGAAAAATGTATTTTAAAATTAAGTAGAAAGGAGTTACTGTGTTACGTATATGTGATCTCTAAATGACAGATGGAGTTCAGGAAGTATAAGAAAGAGGAATGACTTCTTAAAAATTTTATTTTCAAATATAAATCTATCATATTACAGACATGATTTACATCCTGAAAAGCAAGAAATTTTTGTGCATAGCAGTTCTTTTTTTTGAAACAAATGTTATTTTATTTTATATTACCTATTTCAAATTCATCATCCTCAGTTAAAATTTCAGCATTTGGTATATTTGTTGGAGGCTGGCAAACCCGGAGCTGATAGGCTATAAACAGGAAAAAAAGCACAGTTGACATTCTCATATTCAGACAGTTATCATAGCCATGCAAACATAATTGAATTAATACCCACATTAACAGGGTAAAAATAAACACCTATTCATTTACTTTGAAACTTTCAAGAGAATCGAAAGAAAGGAAACATACAAATTTCAAAACTAATGAAAAATTGGATGTTGTGTCTTTGTTCTTAATTAGTTACTTAATTTCAGTGGCAAAACCCTTTTCATAAATAACCTAAGAAGCTTAGAAATGGTTGTCAATTTTCGCATTTAAATGATCTCATCTGAAAAGCAAATATTTTTTACAATGTGCAACCATTTTGTTTTTTTACAATATATTTTTTCTGCTGAACTCTCCATTTCTGAAACTTCGAAATAAAGAAAAGTTTTACAATCCAAAATATTCTACTTAGAGGCAGCATAACTGAGGGACAGAAGCATTTTGAATGTGAAATTTCCCAGTACATTAATAGTTGTGGAGCACATCTTACCTGGAGATAGAATCAGATAATAGTTCTGCTTTTAAAATTCTCATTTCAAGTCTCACGTAAAATAGTTTTCTGGGTTTTATACATATGCAACAGTCAGTTAAAATCACCAGGTGAAAGAAATGTTAAAAAAAGACAAGTAGGAAAAGTATGCAGAAGCTATATAGCTTTATTTTTTTAAAGAAACTCTATAAGGATGGACCTGTGTTTGGACACAGACAAAATTCCATTCAATCTGAATGCAATTAGGACAGAAATCTGGCTTTCACAAACTGCTACATGCAATTTAGATGCTCAGATTTGGAACGAAAATTCCGACCCCCCTCTGCCTAATTCTAATGTAGTCTGTACTCTATAATAAATTCAAGTGCTCTTGCTGTTTGTTTGTTTTTCATTGTGGGATTTAGGTCTTTTTTGTCTTGCTTTGTTTTGTTTAGGTTAAAGTTCCTTTAATCCTCTCCCCCCCGGCCCCGTTCTGCCTATCTGTAGTTACCTTGACCTTTACTAAGTCAAAAAGAAAGCTCTCTAGTCCCAAAATCTTACAAGGATCAAGAAAACAAACTGTAGGTCTGTTCATGTTTCCTGGAATAGTCGATCCAACAGGCATTCGAAAAACACCTAAAACCACATTTGCTTCTGAATCTGTTTCCTTTTAATGATAGGAATGCAAGACAACACTTAGCCACAGAAGGCTTGAATGACTACAAAAAGAGGTGGAATTTGACACATGAATATTTTAGCATTTTCATTCGGTCAATATTGAACTCAAGGGTAGTTTAACATTAACTACACAGTATAGTTCATTATCATTGAAATCTCTAAAACAACAGTACTTACTTCAAAATATTCAAATATCTATGATAAATTTAATGACCCCCACAAACATTTAGATTACAAAGGAATTTTGGAAGCATTGTAAGCAGTGAGAAGATGAGCACCTTGAACTTATGTCTCTTCACAGTGTTGGGTTTTTTTTTTTTTTGCTTGATTATTAGTAAACTTAATATCTGGTCAAGAAAATAGCTTGTTTTCAACATTCATATTAATCTTTCATATATTTGCATTACCGTAGTGGTGGTCAGTCATACTAATAATAGCAACTTTTCTTAGAAAAAGTAATTAGAGTAATTTTTTCATGAGTTTTCTTCCTAAAGTAATCCATACAGACAGTGAAAAAGTGCAATTTGTCACACTCACCATGGTAACTAAGTACAAAGAAGCCACTGGTAGTAAAGTCACTGTGGAACTTAATCAGAATCTGATTGGAAGTGCTATAGACTGATTCTAAAGCAGTGTTGCCACTAAATTGTCCAATTTGAGGAGAAGTTTGGTCTGGTCCATCCCTAAGAAAAACAGACACAAAAAGATTTTTTTTTCCCAAACAAATAATTCAATTTCTCCAAATTTTCATATAATATAGAAAAATTTCTCTGGATTACTCTAAAAGGCGTAAGTCCTCTAAAATCAAACAGATATTAATGGCTGAAAGACTTTTGAAATGCTAGATGTGCATTGGAGTATAGCAGGTAGTAGTTTAGAAAACTATCAAAATTCATTAGAAAGTAAGATGCTCCATTCAACCACCTTTTGAAAGCTCAAAATGATTGAATTTGTGATCGTACTTCATCTTTCTGCCACAAACTCTGGTCATATTTACTTATCTATGCTTTCAAATGTGGCTATTGGAAATAAATAAACTGATCACAGAATCATAGAATGGTTTGGGTTGGAAGGGACCTTAAAGATCATCTAGTTCCAGTACCCATGCCATGGGCAAGGACACCCTCCACTACACCAGGTTGCTCAAAGCTTCATCCAACCTGGTCTTGAAAACTTCCAGACATGGCACATCCACAGCTTCTTGGGGCAACCTGGTCCGGTGTTTCATCACCCTCATTGTAAAAAAATTCTTCCTTAGATCTAATCTAAATCTACCCTCTTTCAGTTTAAAGCCATTGTCCCTTGTCCTATCACTACATGCCCTTGTAAAAAGTCCCTCTCCAGCTTTCTTGCAGGCCCCTTTAGGTAGTGGAAGATTGCTAGAAGATCTTCCCAGAGCCTTCTCTTCTCCAGGCTGAACTACCCCAACTCTCTCAGCCTATGTTCATAGAAGAGGTGCTCCAGCCTTCAGATCGTCTTCGTGGTGCTCCTCTGGACTTGCCCTCATCTCCCCCTGTCTTTTGAATTTGGTCATTTCTAGGAAAATTAAGAGATGAAATCTATTTAATTTTTAAAAGACAATGAGTCAGTATTGGCTTCACTAAAGACAAAAACAAAATGCTTATACTCTACTGAATACAAGATTCCACCTGAATTCTGCATGTGGGCCATTATAAACATTTTATTTATGATGATTATTTTAAGGACACTACTTTTAGAAATTCTCTAATGTCAGGATTATACAGGCATATAAATCATACATAAGTAACAACACACATGATATATGCATGAATAGCATGACAGATGCTTTAATTTCAGAACATTCTTCTAAAAGTGTTGTTAATCTAAACAGGATACAAAACATCTACAAACAATCAACAAAGAACACATAATGAAATAAAACGGAGGTTTTACCTTTGTCATGGCATATGCAATTACTTTTACTGTAAGAACTAAGGAGTACAACTGAAACCACATGAAATCACTTGGTAGAGAGGAAGAGCTGAATGGAAGAAGACTAGAAGGGGACAGTAGTGTTCTAGTTCGTGTGGGATTAAATAGAGAAAAGATGTCTGTATGTGCACAAAAGTATAATTTAATTCAGCAAAGATTCTGAAAGTCAGCTTAAATTTGATACACAAAACAAGTGGTGAAGAGTTAAAGGGATTCAAAATTTTCTGAGTTTTATCAGGGCAATAAACTGGGTACATATTTTGATCAAATTTCGTTTAGATTTAAAGGCAAAACAAACGAGTATCTGGGATGCAGGGCAAGACAGTTTGTAGAACACAAGATGAAAAAACCCCAAGACCTACAGAAATTGTCACAAAATTGTACAGAGAACAGTTTACTGTTTAGGAAACTAGGAACGAAATCCTGAGTTACATGAATTTACATGAATCCAAACTAGATTTCTGTGGAACAGAAACATAAAATGAAGAATTAATATTTTGCACTACTCAGACTACAACTACTCAGACTCTCTCAACCTGCAGATTTTCAATCTGCGGATTCAATAATCAGTTGATTCTTGGTTTAGGCAAGCTTCCAAAAGGTTTTAGCTGCAGTTGAAATGTCTAGGAGACTCACTGGTAACAGTTTCAAGATTACTATAGGAGCTGTTACACTTGGTTACAGCCCCTTGCCCTCACCAACTTTGCAACCGAGAAGAATGGGGGCTTCATTACCTGAAAAGATTTGTGATAGACATGGATTCAGGTACACAGAGAACATAAATTTTTTACAGCTATGGTTAGCTCAACTCTTTTTGTCATAGCCAAATACAAAGAGAGTCTCTCCTTTTAGGTACTCTTAAAAGTTTAAAAGAAGTTGACTTGGAAGAAATTAAGAAAGTACTGCAGTAGTTTCTTGTATTAACAATCTAAAACTTTGTAATACACACAGCTGCCCCTGCTTGTTATCTCTCTTTTCTTAAGTATTACTTCTCTTAGTTGTTGATAAGCTGTCATAGTCTACTCCTGAATGCTTTTCTTCACTGAGAAACTGAGGCACAATATTATTGGGTTTGAACTCTAAAGACAAGGACTATAAAACTTTATGTCCAGTGTTATCTAGAGAGAATGGTACATTGCAAAACATGAATTAGTGCAAATCACTCATTTGTCCTACACAGAACATCAGCACCAAGGGACAAATCGCAAATATGCTCTTTTTAATTCATCCTTTGTAGCATAATGTCACATGAAGATTAAATAAATGCCAGAAGTGTTTTCTTACCAGACAGTTATGAAATCATATATTGGCTCTGTTTGGAGAACTGTGAAATTGATATAGATTCCATTCCCAGGTGGTACTCTTACAAGCCAGAAGCAGTCTTGAAAGTTTGGATACTCATCTGGGTATCCTGGAGAGTATATGGTGCCATTCATCGCAGTTATATTTCCTCCACAGAGGGCTATAAAAAAAGACATTTGTTTTAAAATATATGCTTCTTGCATTCTTTTTAGACCATGTAAAAGCCATACTTTTAAACACATTTTGTACACTGTAACTAGATTATGTAAAACTATGTGTATAGAAAACAGATTTTACTGAGCTTTTTGCAAAGAGTCAGAAGTCTCTTTTGACATTATTGGTCAAGTCTAAAAGAAAAAAAGTAATTCTGATGTCATAAATACTACCAGAACTGGAAGTGAAGTAATATTTAGACACTGGGTTAAATTATTCCCTGCACAATTGAAAACCACTTTGTTACAGCTTTGTGTAAATGCCAGCTACAAATTAGCAGTGAAACACAATTGCTTTCATTTACCATCACAAGAAGGGAGCCAACCAAAATTATCAGGGAGAGAAAAAATATGCTAAGTTGATGGAGGATGGATGCAGGAAAATTAAGAGGGGAATTTGAAAATGAAAATATTGTGTGCAACAGTATGAATAGCAATTTTTCACTTCCTGAGATAAAATCTGGTAGACAAAGTAAGAGTCTTTTCTTTAATTCTTGTTGAAGTGCATTAATTTTAGACATCATGCAGTGTAAGACTGATCATGTAGCTTTTGGACTTTCATAACTATGCATTTCAGGAAAACTATTAGTCCAAACTGTATGATTTTCTCTACAGAGGTTTCAGATGCATGTCAAATATGACACCACCCTGTTATTACAGAAGAGAAATTATGTTACAGAAGTCTTGTTCTGGAAAAGTGGGCAAAACCTAAAATAGTATAATTTGGTTTATTTTGCATACATTCTTCCCCACTCCACCCCAAATGGGCAGGGAATGGCACCACAGATTCCCTAAAATATGCTTAACAACCTTGAACCAGAGAATAGGTTGTTGGAATTAGAGGTTTGACATGTAGAAACTATGCATTGTCTGTATTTAGGTAAATAAAGCATGTTTTATGGTTTATATATATACTTTGCCATTGAACTGTAGGGTAAGGAGACCTTCATAATCACACCTCATCCATTCAGACTCAACAGCTGGTATACTGCTTTTCTCAAGGGTTTCTGAGCAGTGCAGACAGAATCGATTTTGTAGTACGGTCTTAAGGGAGTGAAGACATGGGCTGATGACTGTCAGGCAATGAGATTTCTTGGAAAAGGAGAGGGAACATATTCCAAAAGGATGAAAGTGAGAGAGATGAGTTAAGAAGGGTCAGAGAGTGTTAGACTGTGCTGAGCACAGGTTAGAGAGATTTTAAGTGCCTGAGGATGCAAGGAGAAGAGAACAAAATTGTTTAAATACGAACCACATTTAGTGATATTTGGTTCAGATTGCTTCAAGAAGTCTGAGGCATTAAACAAGTCTTAGTATATGCTGCCTTGCAACAAAGATATTAAAGCAATTACAAATTTAAAACATTCTATACCTCTCACTAGGCATATATAAAAAGCCCACTTCATTTTAATGTTTTGAACACAGGGCTTCATCTCAAATCAAACCAAGTACAACTAGAAGATATGTAATTATCTTTTTCCTTCAACAATAAAAAAAAAAACCTCAAAAACATAAGTACCAAATAAAAATGTCAAAAATTCTACTAAAAATACCACAATAAATATTTGCACAAGACACCATGTAATTTAAAAAATTTCTCTGGGAGCAGAATAACGTTGGCAGTCTGTAATCATGCAGCACAGCACACATTAGATCTTCATTATCAATAAGGTTGATTTTTTTATCGGCATCTTTTCATATCACATTAAGCAGATACAAAGAACTTCTAGCAACTGTTCAGGAACTTCATGAAAAATGATACTGAGGACAGCAACATACTTCAAACATCTTAGAATTTACTAATTAAATTCTTGATTCCAGTAAGGTGATTCAAAGAAACAGAATCACTCCATTCAGTAAATTATTTGTCTTGATTCTGAGGCACAGCAAATACAGTTAGAACTAAGTAACAGGGAAAGTTAAGCTGTTTAGCAGTTAAGACATGAACTAATACTACTCTCGCAGGTTCCAGAAAATGGGGGTTGAAACTTAATTTTGCTGAATTAACTTCTTCCCCTTTTGAAAGAAAGATTTTGTAGTTGTCATCTCTCTTTTATGTGATAAGGCTTCTCCTTCTGAATTCAGTATCATACATCTTAATTTAGCTACCACATCCCCCAGAAATGGCTGTGGCTCACTGACTCCAGAAGGAATTTTGAATAATGAGGCATCTAATTTAAGTAGCTAAATTTAGTTAGATGATTCAGAATAGAATGAAAAAATCCAGAAAAGAAGGTGAATTTTTTTTTGTTGTTTTCTTTTATTTTCTTTTTTTTTCCTTTTCTTTTTTTTTTTTTTTTTCCTCCCCAGAAATTCCTCTGAAGCTTGCTTGGTATTAAGGATTCCATTCTTAATGCCAAGCTTTCACTATTTAATTTTCCTGGGTTTATGTGATGGGGTTTTGGTAGCAGAGGAGGGGCTTCTCCTGTAAGGAGATGCGAGAAACTTCCCCAGCTCCAAAATCAGTTGGACCAGTCTCTGGCCAAGCTGGACACCTGCCTGCCCCCACCTCCCCTCCGGACAGGGCTGAGTCAATCACCGCTTCTGCAAATGCCCTATTAGAGAAGGCAAGAAAGAAATTCGAACTGTGGCTGGACCTACAGTGAAGAGGGGGGAGGTGGGGGGCTGGCCTCCCCTGCCTCTCAGGCAGGTGACTGCCCACACTGGGCTTCCACCACTCAACTGGAGATGGCCACAGCAGCGTGGCTTGGAGAGATCCAAAGCGCCTCGCTCCCGGGTTGCCTGCTGAGCAGAGCTCGTCTTGCTGGGACTGCTGAGGTTTGTTGGGCCAGTTGGGCTGCGAACGGCTGCAGCACTGAGAGAAACGGCTACGCAGACACCAGGGCAGTGAAGATGGAGAGGGTGGAGGTGTGCCGCAGTGGGGATTCCCCTGCAGCCCATGGCCAGATGGCAGGTGGCTCCTCTGCAGCCCATAAAGATTAATGGAGGAGCAGAGATCCACCCACAGGCCGTGGAGAACCCCACGCTGGAGCAGAGATGCGTGTGCCTGAAGGAGGTCATAGAGAATTGTCTCCGTAGGAAGGACCCCCCACACTGCTGGAGACTGACAACAAAGCAGAGATGTATCTGTAGTCTGTAGACAAACTCATGCTTGAGCGTGTGGCTGCACCCTAAGAAGCCGTGACTCTGTGGGGAAAGTCCACTCTGGAGCAATCTGATAGGTAAGGATTGCATCCCATGGGAAAGACTCATGTTGGAGAAATCTGTAGACTATCTCCTATGAGGAGGGACCTCACGTTGGAGTAGGGGAAGAGTGTGAAGAGTCCTCTCCCTTAAGAAAGGAGTAGCAGAAACAGTGTGTGACGAATTATTTCATACGGAAGAAAATTCAGTCTTCAGTTCCACAGATAGATTTTGAGGTGCACAGATATTTATCAAAGAGATTTCTATGCTACCAAAACATCCATCCTTGCCTGTTTCGGAATCTGATGATGCAGAACGACTCATCTTTGGCCTGCTGCTTAGGTACAGGTTCCTTTCAGCATAGCTAGCCATAGAACACTCCTACATAATCATCATATACATTCATTCTGCCTCCTTAAAATTTCATCTATGTGCAAGGCACAGTTCCTTGAATCTGCTTGCCTACTGCAGCATGTAAGTGTAAAAAAAGGTAAAAGATTAAAAAATATAATTTTTAAAATATTCCCATTCACACAAAAAAATACGTAGAAAGGACTTCACACAGCATTAACTGCAAGGCAACTGCACTTTGTGCCACCTTTGACATTTATTTCTAACCGATAAGACAGAACATAAGTGGCCAGAGTTAGGAAATTCAATTTTTGAATCCTTTTTTCTTGATTCAGTGCAGAGATTTAACCTTGGAGCACTGCCTAGATTAAAAAGCAGCACAGGTCTCCACACTCCAGATCATAACCCTAACCTTCTAAAAATAAACATATTATCTCATAAATTTTCAGAGATCTCATATTTCTATGAAACATTTCATCTTCTCTGCAAAAATTTTCATGTGTAAAATAGAATACTTCCTCTGCAACAACTGTAATACAGGTCTCTAAATTGAAAAGGTGAAATAATTTCAGTTAACTATCCTTACAAAGACTTAGAAATAACGAAGGGTTCATAGGTCATCCAGAACATACCTTCACATCTGGGGAGAGGATGATTCCAGTTACGGCTGATGCCATGAAGACAAGTCAGAGCTGAATTTCCAATTAATGTGTAGCCAGGAAAACACTCAAATGAAATGGTTTGTCCCACAGTAAAGTCATTCCCAATAACAAAACCATTACGAAATGGTCGAGGGTCAGGACAGCTTTGTAGCTGATATGCTGAAATAAATAAATAATAATAAAGGGGGGGACGATAAAATACAAATTCTTATTACTTTGAAAATAAAAGCTTTTCATTAGAATAAAATTTAAAATCATGGACATCACATGTGTTTCAAGTTCCATCACAGCAACAATCAAAATCATTGGTCCTACACCACGAGAAGCACAATGAAACATTCCCACAGCAATTCTGGAAATATGCATAAAAATTATTTACCAATTCCAAACCTCATAAGGAAAATATTATACTATAACCATAAGTTTAAATGATTTTATGTTCATTACACTTTGATTATATGTGTGTGTCTAAACAAGCAAACAAATACGCAACACCTTACCCTACAGGTTTTTGGAACAGAGTCCATGAAGGCAAAAATGAGACTAGTCTCTTAATTTTATCTTTTAATTTTAGTAAGTACGGGAGTACTGCACTAGAGAAGAAGACAGTAGAAAGGAATTTAGACTTTGTGTTTTCTCCACTTAGATCTTCAAAAAGGTAGGCCACCAACTGGCTCTTTAAAACTACAAGTTGCTTCCAAGTGCACCCTCAAGTACACAAATGGATTTGAGCTGCTGACAAGGAAAATTAAAAAGGATGTAGAAAAG